GCTAACGACGAACCACCGCATCCCCGTGGCTTCTGGAAGTGCCTGTGTGTCCATACGTTGGACCAAGACTTCGCTAATCTGTGGGAGCATGTGTTCTCCCAGCCGGTGTGGAAACCATTGGTGGAACATGTGGGGAAGGACCATGGTGGAGGAGGAGAGTGAGGAGGTGGAGAAGGAGAGAAGAGGAGGAGGAGGAGGAGGAGGAGGAGGAGGAGAAGCAGGAGGAGAAGGACGAGGGGGAGGAGAAGGAAGGAGGAGAAGGACATGGGGGAGGATGAGAAGGGGGGAGGGGGGAGGGGGGGAGGGGGGAGGAGGGGAGGAGGGAGGAGGGGGGAGGGAGGAGGGAGGGAGGAGGAGGAGGAGGACGAGGAGGAGGAGGAGATGAGATGAGATGTGATGAGAGCTGTCGCGAAGCGACTCTGTATACTTTAAGCCTTGGCCGCACGCTCAGATTTACTGAGCACTTTAGGCACCCGATCTCTCTCTAAACGACGGAGGTACTCCCTGCCAGAAGATGTGATAGGAATGCAGGGGCCCGCCAGTTTCGTATTTGGGAGAGCCTGGCCGATGGACCCACAACTGCCACAACACCACACAGCTTGCGATTCGTGATACTTCATTTGGTGGGAACTATGGGCCGTGCCCCCTGCGAGATGTAAACTCCGACCTGCTGGCATATTTGAAAGTTTATCACTAATGACCTCTAAGGGAACGCATGTGGACGCACGCCAAGACTTCAAACAGGCCTCAGTTGCGGAACCCTTGCACACTAAGCACGTTTCCCGATGCATCGACGTTATGATCAGAGCACCTCAACGCAACACCACGGGGACGAGGAGGCGGAACGGCAGGAGCCTCAGTGCGCCTTCTCTTGTTGGCGCCGATAGTTGTCTGAAGGGCAGTACGTAGACGTCGCATACGAACCATGCGTGCCTTGTTTTCCACCTGGCTCTCTGGCAAGCGGGCCTCTGGCAAGCGGGCCTCCTGTGGCTCTCCTGGCAAGCGGGCCTCCTTGGTCCGCTGGCTCTCTGGCAAGCGGGCCTCCTTGACCGCAGTCCCTGCAAGAGTGTCCACATACACATTGCCAGCGATCATCCACGACGGTAAATCGAGCTCGACAACACGCTGGCCGTCGATGTGCGACGGGACTTATAAGACAGCGATTTCACCTCAGGGTCGATGTTTGCAGATGCTTCCGAATGGTCCTTCAAATGTCAGCGTTGGCCCCTTGTGGGTCTTTCGAAAGCACGGGCCCACCATCCGCTGCATACCTCCTCATTATCCGTGATGTAAATCATTGGTCCTGTAGACCATCTAATCGAAACTTCGAGCATGTACAACTCCCCTCTTGCAACCGTCTGGCGGTCACCTGGAAGAGGGTCGTTATACATACGGTAGATCTTCATTGACATCCAATTGAAACGTTGCAGCAGCCAACCCTACTCGACGAAGTCGTGGGTCGTGGGTGTCCGCGCCTCCAGATGCATCTCCATACAAGATCAATGGACTGTCCATCGATCCACACCCAAAGGAGAATGTGCCAGCATGCTCTTGTAACATACGTTTCCATTCTTCAGCGTGTGTTGGGTCGCTGACCTTGGTCCAAGCAGCTGGGATCAGCCCTCGGAACCAAACCCACTCTGCTAAATTGGCCTGGGCCACCGCGCGCTGACACAGGTTCTCGGTCATGTCGAAAATGGGCGAACTTGTGTTGCACGAACACTGCCAGTATCTGTGCAGTGGGGTTTCAGCAACCTGATCAGGACAGCGCTCACACAAGCCCGTGCACTCATATCCTCCATCCATGCGTCTAGATTATGTCCAAGCTCCCCCAACTGCTATGACCAGCATCATTTCTGCCAGCCGTCGTCCTTGAGGGAGGGCCTCAAGTTGGGCCACTTGCTTGCGAAGGCTGTAGTTGTCGAGACCCCCTTCAATCCCACTGCCACAACAGGTATGCGATGTCTCAACCCAGAGCTGACGCTGAAACGTATCTGAAAAATCTTGGATCAGCCCAGATGCCTCCGAAACCGATTCGAGTTGGCTGGCGTCGGCCATACACGCGAAACTGGAACATGAATAGGAGGCTTCTCAATCTAGGTTCTGATGATGAGGAGTAGGGAGGAGGGAGGAGGGAGGAGGGAGGAGGAGG